GTGAACCATCAGCTGCTGCCTCGCAGGTTGTACATTAAAAAGAATCTGGAATAGGAAGCAGAGCCAGGACTTGGATCTTGGCATTCTGACATGGCACATGGGTGTCTCAAACAGAATTTTAAATCTCTTTTAAATCTTAAACCACCTCTCTCAGAGCCTTAAATGATATTGTTCTACATATCATCTTTTACCTCAGAGAAAACTGCTACATGGATAAACAGGTATTTTCCTCATGTTGGTACTTATAGCTAATTAGCAAAATGAGGTAAGGGAGAGAAAAGCCTTGGGTTTATTAAACCATGAACAAGACAATTCATTTTAAAAAACTTCAATGTCATCACTTAAAAAGGGATATTTCAGGGGCTCGCGCTGTGGCATAGCGGGTAAAGCTGCTTGCCTGCAGTGCTGGCACCCCATATGGGCATAGTTTGAATCCTAGCAGGTCCACTTCTGATCCAGCTCCCCATTAATGTGCCTAGGAAAGCAGTGGAAGATTGCCCAAGTGCTTGGATTCCTGCACCCATGTGAGAGACCCAGAAGCTACTCGCTTCAGCCTGGCCCAGTCCTGGCCATTGTGCCCATTTGAGAAGATCTTTCTTTCTCTCTCTGCCTCTTCGTAATCTACCTCTCAAATAAACAAACAAATCTTTAAAAAAAAAAAAAAAGAAAGAAACCTATTAGACAATAAAATCAAAATGGCAGTTAAATTACAAAATGAGGGCCGGCGCCATGGCTCACTAGGCTGATCCTCCGCCTGTGGCGCCGGCACACCGGGTTCTAGTCCCGGCCGGGGTGCCGGATTCTGTCCCGGTTGCCCCTCTTCCAGGCCAGCTCTCTGCTGTGGCCAGGGAGTGCAGTGGAGGATGGCCCAGGTGCTTGGGCCCTGCACCCCATGGGAGACCAGGAGAAGCACCTGGCTCCTGCCATCGGATCAGCACAGTGCGCTGGCCACAGCGCGCTAGCCACGGCGGCCATTGGGGGGTGAACCAACGGCAAAAGGAAGACCTTCAAAGGGAGCACATAAGCAAGTCTAGTACCTGCTAACACTAACCGATAGAATAAATAAAGGGGAGAGTGATCCAACATGGGAAGTGAGATACTCAGCAGACTCATAGAATGGCAGATGCCCTAAATAGCACTCTGGCCTCAGAATCAGCCCTAAAGGCACTCGGATCTGGCTGAAAAGCCCATGAGAGTATTTCAGGCATGGAAAGCCAAGACACTCTGGCAAAAGATCTCTGTGAGTGAGATCTCAGTGGAAAGAACAGGTCTTCAAAGAAGGAGGTACCTTTCTCTGAAGGGAGGAGAGAACCTCCACTTTGACTATGACCTTGTCTAAACAAGATAAGAGTCGGAGAACTCAAGGGGCTTCCATAGCCTTGGAAACTCATGACTGGAGCATAGGGAGATTACTGATGCCATAGACAGGAGTGTCAATTGGTAAAGTCAACAACAGGAGTCACTGTGCACTTACTCCTCATGTAGGATCTCTGTCCTTAATGTGCTGTGCATTGAGATTTAATGCTATAATGAGTACTCAAATAATATATTTCACTTTGTGTTTCTATGGGGGTGCAAACTGTTGAAATCTTTACTTAATGCATACGAAACTGATCCTCTGTAAAAAAAAAAAAAAAAAGAAAAGAAAGAAAAGAAAAGAAACTATCAACTCCCAACTTGACTCTCACTGGGATTAAACATGACAATAGGTCTGATCTGATTTCATCATCATTAAAAAAAATCACCTATTATTTTTCACTTTATGTTTCTGTGTGGGAGCAAACTGTTGAAAGCCTTACTTAATGTATACTAAGCTGATCTTCTGTATATTAAGATAATCGAAAATGAATCTTGATGTGAATGGAAGGGGAGAGGGAGTGGGAAAGGGGAGGGTTGTGGGTGGGAGGGACGGTATGGGGGGGAAGCCATAGTAATCCATTATTCGTACTTTGGAAACGTATATTCATTAAATAAAAGTTAAAAAAAAAAAAAAAAAAACTATTATATAGTTACATGGTAGAATATATTGCACATATATGTAATGGTTACATCTTTTAAGAAGTGTTTAAAATAAAATACTGCATATGCTACATGAGAAAAGAAGAAGAAAAAAAGAAGGGAAGACCTTTCTCTCTGTCCACTCTGCCTGTCAAAAAAAAAAAATTACAAAATGATATAAATATTATTAATACTATAAATGGAGGTAATGTGTGTAGAAATGGTTACGTCAGAGGTGACAATAAAGGAACTTGCATGTCAAGCCAATGACTGAACAGAAAATAAAGAACCATTACGATGTTTTACTGCTAAGAGTGGGGGCTGGGAGGGAGGTTGTATAGGAAAAAAATGAGATAATTATGTCTTCAAAGACATCTAATGGCACTGAGAGAAGACATAAAGGAGTACAAATAAGTAGAGGCTAACATAACAGTCCAACTGAAAGATAAAAGCTTGGACTACAGCACTAATAGTAAAGTAAGAAAGGAGTGAACACTGGCCGGCATTGTGCTATAGTGTGTTAAGCTGCCATATGGGCAACAGCATCCCAAATGGGTGCTGGTTTGAGTCCTGACGGCTCCACTTCCAATCCAGCTCCCTGTTAATCCTTCTGGAAAACCAGCAGAAAATTGTCCAAGTGTTTGGGCTCCTGCATCCACGTGGAAGACCCGAAGAAGCTCCTGGCTCTGGCCTGGCCCAGCCCTGCTGCAGCCATCTGGGGAGTGAACCAGCAGACTGAAGATCTCTCTCTCTCTCCCTGCCCCACCCCTGCCTTTCAAATAAATAAAATAAACCTTTAAAAAAAAAAAAAAAAAAAAAAGGAGTGAACTGACTAAAGTATTTGCAAAAATATTTGGAAAAAAATTGTAAAATAGTGATGGAAAGGGAAGAATTGTAATGTAGCGGGTAAAAGCTGCCACCTGCAGTGCCAGCATTCCCGTATGAGTGCCAGTTCAAATCCCAGCTGATCCACTTCCGATCCAGCTCTCTGCTATGGCCTGGGAAAGCAGTGGAAGATGGCCCAAGTCCTTGGGCCCCTACACCCACATGGGAGACCCACAGGAAGTTCCTGGCTCCTGGCTTCGGACTGGCTCAGCTCTGGCCAATTGGGGAGTGAACCAGTGGATGGAAGACCTCTCTCTCTCTCTCTCTCTGCCTCTCCTTCTCTCTCTGTGTAACTCTGACTTTCAAGTAAATAAATAAATCTTAAAAAAAAAAAAAAAGATGAAATTCAAAATGACATTTGACTTTTGATTTAGAATTAAATGCTATTAAGAACGTTTAGAGGTTTTTTTTTTTTTTTTTGACTTGACTTGACTTCCTATCTTCTGGGGCCGGTGTTGTAGCTCAGTGGGTTAAGTCACCTCTTGCAACCCATGAGTACCAGTTCAAGTCCTACTCTTCTAATTCTAATCCAGTTTCCTACTAATTCACCTGGGAAAGCAGTACAAGATGCCCCAAGTACTTGGGTCCCTGCCACTCATTTAGGACACCTGGATGGGGTTCCTGGCTGTTGGGGAATGAAGTAGTAGATGGAAGATATCTGTCTCTCCCTCTTTCTCTGAAACTCTGCCTTCCAAATAAAAATAAATACACCTTTTTAAAAAAAATCTTTTCTCTGATGAAAAATTTGTGAGCCCCTAGAGTAACCTTTTCCAAGTATTCTCCTAGACAAAAGTTCTGAATTGGTGTTTTGTATTCTTCCTTCACATACCTTCAAACAAACAGAAAGTAAGATGGAAAACAGATGGAAGGTGACAAGGCAATGGAGTCTAAGACCCTCATTACTTCATGTATTAACAGCCAGAAATAACACTTACAAGCAGGCAGGAAACAAGTGAAGGTAATTCTCTGGAGGAAAGAACGATTTTTGCTTTGTCTTTTGATTATAGTTGACTGAGATCTATTATAGACAGCGTAAACTCCCTTCACTTCTTTTTATGAAAATGGTAAAAAGCCTTAACAGTTTTCTGCTTACAGGAAATCTTCAGAACTCAAGGAGTCAGTATCCATTTAATCCTGTGCCTTTAAACATCTCTCTTCTCTATCCATATCACAAAAACTAAAATCCAACTATTCTCCCACATGATCAAAAAAAAAAAAGATTCAGCTATGTCTGATATATTCTTTAATATGGCAATGAAATATGATTTTCCTATTTTAGCACCTAACAAGCTGAATTTCAAGTATCTGGGAAACAGTTCAGGTATTTGGTTCATTTTTCAGACTTCCCATTAATTAACAATACTCCAGATTTAGCATTAAGTCTTATCATTTTAGCCAAAAGATGTCACAAACCTCAAATTTAAAAATTAAGTACTTTGTTGTAATAATTCTCTAAAGAATAAGTACTTCTAGTAACTCATTCACCCAACCTACCAAGCCAGAAACCTGGGAGTTATCCCAGAGTCTCCCTTTCTCCAATTTCTGATTATTCATTTACCAAAGTTAAATACTTCTCAAAAATGTTCCTCTAGTACCATTATCAACTGAGTATTAAGCCATTGACTAAACTGCGTCTTAAATTACAATAATTAGATTTGGAGTTGATGTACAAATATGTAACACTGGTAATGCACCACTCTGTCCTTGCAATACTAAAAGACTGCAAAAACAGCATGTCAATGCAAATTCTAAGTGCTGCTTCCAACTGAGTGCTCACCTCTTTATCATGTCACTCTGTCACCATATCTAGCACAAAGTACCTCCAGCTATTCCAAAATGCTAACATCTACAAATCAGAGGCCAAGGTCAGACTTTTACCCTTTTCTGCTAATATCCAGAGAGAAGCAACAATCTAAAACTCTTGAAACTACCAGTGCAACAAAGCCCTAATAGCAACAGTGAAATATTCATAAGATCTTTATTATACTACAAATGAGAATGAGTAAATCCATTCCACGTATTTATAATGATTTTCTTTTGTACATTTTTACTTAAAAATCACTAATTTAGCATTTTGCTATTACTAAAAATAAAAATTTAAAAAGCAAGGCAATTACCTGAGGAGAGTCAAAAGGATATCGACTACTAAATTTAAATAGAAGTTGAAATTTTTCCCCTTCATATAAGGTACCTGGTGCACCCTCCATGTCTACAATCCACCTAGAACAGAAAAAACAAATTTAAAACTTAACATAAAAGGGATTAAGATGAGAAGCAGAAGAAGGAATACAGAGAACATCCTCTAGGGCAGGTAGTGGGACAGGAGCATACTTCACCCTCCCAACAACTCTGAGTGGGCTTTAACACCCTGAGTCCCTCCTCTAACACTCAGGGGTTAAGACACTAGAATCAAGATCAGATGACTAGCAAAGGACAGAGACAAATTTTCATCCAGGCATGAAAAAAACGAAAAACAAACAGCATAAAATCTCAAACTCAGGTGTATTGACACAAAAAGAGCTCTTATTCAATTTTTTAATATTTATTTGAAAGGCAGAATTAAAGAGAAAGAGAGATGGACAGACACAGCCACATACATACACACACACACACACAGCCACATACACATACACACACAGATTTTTCCATCTGTTGGTTCACTCCCCACATGGCTGCAATGGCCAGAGGTGGACCAGACCCAAGCCAGAAGGCAGGAGCTTCCTCTGGATCTCTCATGTGGGTGCAGGGACACGAGTACCTGGATCATCCTCCATTGCTCTCCCAAGTGCACCAGTGGGGAGCTGAATCAGAAGTGGAGTAGGGAGGACTTGACCTAGCATTCCTTTTTTTTTTTTTTTTTTTTTTTTTACAGGCAGACCTGAACCCTGGATTGAGAGAGAAAGGTCTTCCTTTGCCGTTGGTTCACCCTCCAATAGCCGCCGCAGCCGGCGCGCTGTGGCCAGCGCACCGCGCTGATCCGATGGCAAGAGCCAGGTGCTTCTCCTGGTCTCCCATGGGGTGCAGGGCCCAAGCACTTGGGCCATCCTCCACTGCACTCCCTGGCCACAGCAGAGAGCTGGCCTGGAAGAGGGGCAACCAGGACAGAATCAGGCGCCCCGACCAGGACTAGAACCTGGTGTGCCGGTGCCGCTAGGTGGAGGATTAGCCTAGTGAGCCACGGCGCTGGCCTTGACCTAGCATTCTGAAATGGCAGCATCTCTTAAGCTGCTTTGCTATAATGCCAGCCTCAGTATTTATCTAATTTACTCTGGAAAACAAACTGAGTTTACTGAGACAGGAGACATGCCAAGGTAATTATGACTATATAAAATTTTTGCCTTATATCCTAACTATAACTATTACTGACATTTACATTGTTTCCAAATTAGCCTTAAAATTAGTAACACTGATATGCATATATCTAGTTCTAAGTCAATCTTTTCCTCTTTGTACCCTTCTTAAAAGAGTTTTAGGGTATATTTATAAATTCAAAGGTTAAGATATTCACATTTTATAAGGTCTTAATATAGTCTACCAGACTACCAGTGTTTCAGAGAACTGTTTAAACATTTTTGCATTTATTTCTTTGTGAGAGAGCTCTCAGATATCTACTGACTCACTCAAATGCTTGCAAACAGCTGGAACTGAGCTGGGTTGAAGCTAGAAACTCAAATCCAGATCTCCTGCATGGTGAGAGGAACCCAATTACTTGTGCCATCACTGCTGTCTAGCACAAAGCTGGAATCAGGAGTCGGAGCCAGGAACAGAAGCCAGGTACTCTGATGTGGACTTTTTAACTTTAATTAATTTATTAGAAAGGCAAAGTGACAGAGTGAGAAAATGAGAGTGACAGAGATCAATCTTCCAACCGTTGGTTCACTCCTCCTATGTCTGCATCAACGAGGGCTAGGCTAGGCCAAAGCCAGGAGCCAAGAACTCCAGCCAGGTTTCCCACATAGGTGGTAGAAGCCCATCTTCTGCTGTCTTCCCAGGCACATTAGCAGGAAGCTGGATTGGAAGCAAAGCAGCCAGGATCTGAAATGCACTTCCACGTGGGATGCCAGACACTGGCCTGAGGTGAACATCCCAACCTACATCTTAACTGCTAGACTAAATGCTGCCCTAGCTTTAACAATTTGTTAGTCATTGTGTTAATGTGGTTCCTCACTCCCTCAAAAAGAGTAAAGGTTAAAAAAGGAAGCAGTCTGAGGATGATCGACTTCATTGAGGTTTACAAGGCCTGACTATTACAGAACACTCCGAGGGGGATTAACACAGAGAGGGGTTAAAAAAAAAAAAAGATAAAAATGGGATTAAGGATGGGTATTTGGTCTAGCAGTTGTATCAGAGTGGCTGGTTTCAAGTTCCATCTCCACTCCCAATTCCTGGTTCCTGCTAAGGGGAGGAAGCAGGTGATGGTTCAAGTAGTTGGATGCCTGCCAAACACATGAAAGACTCAGAGTTCTTGGTTCCTGGCTTCAGCCTGGCTGAGCCCTGGCTATTGCTGGCATTTGGGGAACGAACCAATGGATGAGAAACCTGTCTTTGTCTCTTTCAAATTAACAAATTTTTAAAATGAGATTCAATCTGCACCAGGGCAAAAACAGAGTCAGACTGTTCTATTTTGTTTGATTTTATAGATTATCATACTCTTTTAAAATAGCTTCAAATTTATTTGCTACAAATGAAAAATCACTTGAGATTCATCAATATTCTAAAGATATTATATATCCAAAGATTTGTAGTAAAATTTCAGAATTCAATATGTCTATCCACTCAATATACACATTCTCAACACTCCTGTTCTTAGAGCTCTAGTCATTAAGGTGCGGACTCAAATGTCAAAAGTCAAAGGTAACCAAAATGCTTCCTTCTGAAAGGATAAATATTTCCACTATTATGTGAATTTTGGTCACTTTTACTCCCTGCATCTAGAATTCAATAAATATTTCACTTGGTGTATTTATGTTACAAGTTGATTTACAGAAATTTCTATCTTACTGGCTTCTTTTCCTTATTATATATATACATATATATAATATATTAAATATATACTATATATTTAATGATTTATTTTACTTTGTTGGAAAGACAGAGTTACGGAGAGAGGTCTTCCATCTGCTGGTTCACTCCCCAGATGGTGGCAGTGGCCGGAGCTGAGTCAATCTGAAACCAGGGCCCAAGGACTTAGGCCATCTTCCACTACTTTCCCAGGCACATAAGAGGGGAGCTGGATTGGAAGTGGAACAGCCAGGACTTGAACTGGTGCTCATACAGGATGCTGGTGCTATAGGCCAGGGCTTTAACCCACTGAGCCATAGCGCCAGCCTCTCCTTTTATATTTTTAGAGATTTTGTTGTTGTTGTTAATATAGAGGAGCAATTATTTCAAATTTCTTATCTATTAAAGGAGACTGCGCAGTCAGACCTTCATAGTTACCCTTCTATACAGTATGCAGTTATACAGTATGCAGTTAATATGTTTGGAAGATGGGAAGAAATAACTCATTATTATTGCTATTATCTTCAAAGCTCTAAATGGTCTCTTTAAAAATTTGACAGAAGCTAGTGTTGTGGCATAGAAGTAAAGCTGCTGCCTTCGATGCCGGCAACCCTTGTGGGCACCACTCATGTCCAGGTTGCCCCACTTCTGATCCAGCTCCCTGTTAATAGCCTGGGAAACACAGCAGAAGATGGCCCAAGTACTTGGGCCCCTGCCACACAAGTGGGAAACCCAGAAGAAGCTCCTGGTTTCAGTCTGTCCCTACCCTGGCTTTTAAGGCCATCTGGGGAGTGACTCATTAGATGGAAGACATCTCTATCCGTAACTGTTTCTAAATAAATAAATAAATATTTTTAAAATATTGGCTAGGCCGGCACCGCGGCTCACTAGGCTAATCCTCCACCTTGCGGCGCTGGCACACCGGGTTCTAGTCCCGGTCAGGGCGCCGGATTCTGTCCCGGTTGCCCCTCTTCCAGGCCAGCTCTCTGCTGTGGCCAGGGAGTGCAGTGGAGGATGGCCCAAGTGCTTGGGCCCTGCACCCCATGGGAGACCAGGAGAAGCACCTGGCTCCTGCCATCGGATCAGCGTGGTGCGCCGGCCGCAGCGGCCATTAGAGGGTGAACCAACGGCAAAGGCGGACCTTTCTCCCTGTCTCTTTCTCACTGTCCACTCTGCCTGTCAAAAAAAAAAAAAAAAAAAGAAGAAGAAGAAGAAAAAAGTGGCTAAATAACTCATACCAAATCATTGTATTACAGATTAGGATTATTTCATACAAAGTCAGACAAAAATTTTTAATGCTGCTCTGTCATTTTCAAAAACTTACGAAAGATACTGCTTTTAAAAAAAGGCTTTATAATTCTGCAACAATGTGTATAATGATACATGATACAAGAAATTAAGTCTGTAAATGCAAGGACTAAATATATTAACTCCTTGACGTACGAAAATGGGATCAATATGAAAATATCATAATTCAAAAATCTGAACATAAATTCATAGACTATGTCAATAATAAAGAAGTACTTTAAATATTAAACACTTACTGTGTAATTGAATTTTGAACGCTCTTTTCATTTAAAGTCATCCCTGGAGGCGGGTCATTTTGCAAAGCCAACAGTTCTTTCTGTAGTCGTTTCTAGAAAAGACCACCAACAATTATTTGCAATTTTTTTCCTTTATAACATGAAATTTATAACATAAATTATAGTATGAACTCACTGATTAAACTTCCTTCCAATGCTCAATCCCTTTCCCTCTACAAACCCTGTTATCTTGTACTTATCATATATGCCTAATTCTTAAAATTTAAATTGTCTATCCTATAACCCACAATCTATTGTCAAAATATTTCAACACTGACACTGTAAAGTGGTTATAAGAGTAGCTAGTTACCTACAAAACATCAGCTTCTTTAGGACTTCATAGCTAATCTTTTGAAGTTGCAAGGTCTTAATAGCCTAGAGTGCTTCCTCTGCTATTTCCACTTAAAAAACAAACAAACAAACAAACAAAAAACAGCTCTCCGTAATCATTAAAAAAAGAAAAAAGAAAGTCATTATACACAAATAAGCTTTCCAGAGAACTTGAAAGCCTTTGAAAAATTTTAAGTAATTTTAGTTTACAAACTACTGCCCATATTTCTTAAATAGGATCACCTGTACATACTTAAGATAAGTTATTGTTATGGACAGTATATATTACACAACATTAAAATATAACACATCAAGGTCTAGAATATGTATTTTCCACATATTAGGTGCCTAAAATAACTTTTTTGCATTCTAATTTGCACAACTCTCATTATTCACTTCTTCCTTGTTATTGATGGGTATTCTTTTTCAGTGTACAATGATGAAGCAAAACAAAAACCACAGCAGCTTCCAATTTATGGACTTCAAAACCAAGTAACTATGGGATAGCATTGTGGTATAGCAGGCTAAGACTCCACCTATGATGTTAGCATCCCATTTGGGCACCAGTTTGTGTCCAGGTTGTTCCACTTCCAATCCTCAAGTCTATTATGTAAAATGATGTAGTATTCTCATATAACTCCTGAATACTTTAGAGCATCTCTACATTACTTATAATACCTAATACAATATAAATGCTATGTAAATAGTTGTTACACTATATTGTAATGATGGTATGTCACCTTGCGTTTGTTAGACAGTAATAATATCAAATTTCTCTGCCCCCTCCCATTAGTACCATGAGATGGGCCAACCTTCCAATTCTTCATTTCAATATTACCAAGCTAGTATTTAAGGCATGCACAGGACCATGTTTTTGACTGAAGGAATGGTGTCACTACATTTAAAAAAACAGTTCATGCCAGCCCTTTGCTGTCTAAGTAGGGAGTAAACTACCTTGCATATTCTCAATAATGACAGCAGGGCTAGTATTCTGAGTTAAGGAGTGCCTCCTAATGAAACTAATAATTTGCCTCATATGATCCTTTTGGCTCTTCTGGAAAGCTAGGTTTAAGTTCCTTGAATGTGGACATTCAAGAATTGAATGTAAAGACAAATTAAAATTCATCTTCATTGAAGATCTACTATAATGTTTTAGAGGTAATTAGACTATAAAAAACATTACAGCTTCCACCTTGGTCATTCTCTTTCTCAAAGCATTTGTCCTGGAAAAAATCTAGCTATCATACTGTAAGCAGCCTAACTGTGAGAAGATATTCACCTTCTAACTTTGAAGACAAAGTGTAAACAAAAGCAGCTGAAACACTAGCATTAAGACAGAACACTAGCATAAGCACTGAGCCACCTGCTCTTAAAGCCATCGTGGCAGGGTGGGTGTTTGGTGCAGCAGTTACTATACCACTTGGGATGCACGCATCAGAATGCCTGGATTTGCATCCCAAAGGCTCAAGTCACAGCCACTCCTGTCGGAGGTTTGGATGGCAGGCTGGGTTTCCGGCTCAGCCTGGCTCAGCCCTGGATATTGAGAGGATCTGGGGAATGAAGTAGCACTTGGAATATCTCTGTCTCTTTGCCTTTCAAATAAGTGAAAATTAAAAAATAAATCAATCATGATAATACCATTCTGCTTTCCCAGACAGTAGTAAAAATGCCAGCTATAAACTGAGGTAACTACACAATGGAAAATAAATGCAGAAGGGAACCACTGTAACTAAAGCAGGAGAAACACCCAGAAACGATGGGGGGAAAGAAGGAAGAGGATATTAGTTCTAGTGGTTCACAGCCAAGTATCCTTCCTGCAAGTCCCTAAGATGGTGAGGTATGGGAAAATTACAAATAATCACAAACATGCCACTGTCTCCCAAATCTGAGACATGCCATCAATTCTAAGATATGCCATTATTTTATACAACACTAGAAAAGGAAAATTCCTGCCAATTATTCAATGACATGCATTGATAACACATCTTTTTTAAAGATTTATTTTATTTATTTGAAAGACAGAGTTACAGAGAGAGGTAGAGGCAGAGACAGAGGTCTTCCATCCGCTGGTTCACTCCCCAGATGGCCGTAACAGCCAGAGCTACACTGATCAGAAGCCAGGAACCAGGAGCTTCTTCCAGGTCTCCCACGTGGGTACAGGGGCCCAAGGACTTGCGCCATCTTCTACTGCTTTCCCAGACCGTAGTGGAGAGCTGGATTGGAAGAGGAGCAGCCAGGACTAGAATCAGCATCCATATGGGATCCCGGCGCTTCAGGCCAGGGCGTTAACCCACTGTGCCAGTGCCGGCCCCAATAGCACATATCTTGATTTGAAAGATTAAAGTATAAAAATGAGCATTTAAAAAATCTATAAAATATAGAATTATAAAATTAACTTTCCTAACCTTTAGGTACAAGAAAACTTGAAAAATAAAATTTCAATTAAGTTTCAGTAAATGTAACAACTGAAATGATTCTTATCTCCTATTTTATCTCATCTACCCTAAAACACATGACTTTAGTCAATCTATTAAATGTGCACTTAATGCCCAGAATTTCCACAGCAGTACACAGACATCTATCTTTCTAGGCAAAAAATGACCTAAAGTTACTAGCAAAAGAATTTATTTTCTTTATCTCACTCATCCATCAAAAATGGCCAGACTTAGAAAGCCAATGTTTTGAAGCATGTCAACTCTGACGCAAACCTTGAAAACACCTAATCTTCAACACGTTGGCTCAACTCTGGAAAGTGCACAGGAATTTGAGCTCTAATAGGAGACCCATGTGAGTTTTCCTGTTTAGTAAGAAGGATCCTAACATCTAAAAACCACTGAAGACAGGTCATTTAACACTTTCAAAACTAGCTTAGCTTTTCAGTGGCTCTGTAGTCCAGCTAGTACTTCCCCTTCTCTCCTTCCTCATTACAAAAATGAAGAGACACGAAACCATGTTAATTTAGAAAAAATACCTGACAAATTATCCAGTTTACTATTATCAATGACAAGGTCTTAGGACATATCAGAAAACTGAATTAACACTCTAGTATGTCATTATATATTACTTGAGAATCTCTACTCCATCATTACAACAGCCAAGGATATGTGACCTCTCCTAAAACTTTTTTTCCCAACTCAGTGCACATGAGGGATTACTGAGATTTATTCTTCCCTATGGTTGTTAAGGAGATAACAACATCAAAGTGCTGCTCAGATTAATATACTATCTGCTCCCATCTTCCCCTGTTGCCTTTTCAAGTCACCACTACAGTAGTTTCCCACAAAAGGTGAAATGTGGGAACATAAGGACAAAGTAATAAAACAAGCGATTTAAAAAGTAATCACTCAAGAATGGCGTGGTGGTGCAACAGGTTAAGCTACTACCTGTGACAGTGGCATCTCACATGGTGCCAGTTCGTATTCTCCACTTCCAACATAGCTCCCTGATAATGGCCTGGGAAAAGTGTTTGAGACCCTGCCACCTACATGGGAGATCTGAATGGAGTTCCTGGGGGACCCATATGAAGCTCCTAGCTCCCATATGACCCAGTCCTGGCTGTTGTGGCCTTTTGGGTAGTGAACCAGCACACAAACTCTGACTTTCAAATAAATAAGTCAAAAAAAAAAAAAAAAAAAAAGTAATCACTCTAAAAATGTAATCACTGAAACATTTCATCAGCCCTGCATAGATGCTGTGGATTAGTTCGAGGACCACTGTGGATACAACAATCCCCACATACTGAAGTCTCTTATGAAAAATGATGTACTATTCTCATATAACTCCTGAATACTTTAGATCATCTCTGTATTACTTATAATATCTAATACAGGCCGGTGCCGCGGCTCACTTGGCTAATCCTCCTCCTGCGGCACTGGCACCCCGGGTTCTAGTCCCGGTTGGGGCACCGGATTTTGTCCTGGTTGCTCCTCTTCCAGTCCAGCTCTTTGCTGTGGCCCAGGAAGGCAGTGGAAGATGGCCCAAGTGCTTGGGCCCTGCACCCACATGGGAGACCAGGAAGAAGCACCTGGCTCCTTGCTTCAGCTCGGTGCAGCGCGCTGGCCATAATAGCCATTCGGGGGTATGAACCAATGGAAAAGGAAGACCTTTCTCTCTTGTCTCTCTCTCTCTCTAACTCTGCCTGTCACACACACAAAAAAAACCTAATACAATATAAATGCTATGCAAATAGTTGTTATACTATATTGATTGTTTAGGGGATAAGACACAATTTCTAATTTTTAGTATTTTTGATATGTGGCTGGTTAAATATGAGATGTGGAACCCCACAGATATAGAGGGTTAACTGTAAATTCTATTCAGTTGATTTCTGCTCCCTCAACTCAAAATGCCAAAGCCTATACAAATATAAACTCAAAAAGTCAAACCAAGTTTGAATATGCCAAAAGGCCTTCCTGGCAAGATCAAGAAATGAGTTATAATGGATAAATAAAAAGATTAACATTTTTGGGTAACATTTAAAGAAATGACTACAACAAAAACTCTTTCTAAAGCCTAATATATACCACTGACATTATCTTTATTGAATGTTAACCTATTAATAATTGCTTCAAATTAACAGTGAAGTCTATATTTTATGAAAGTAACTATTTTCAAAACAAAAATTATGAGAAAAGTGGCATTATTTTATATTGTTGCAAATTTTTAACTTTCTTTAATGTTTGGCTTCAGAAAAGACATAGATTTGAAAGGTGGCAGTATATCCCTGCTTGATAACTTGATTACATCATAAATTGTAATAATCAGTGAAGTACAGACACATATACATCAATGGGACAAACAAGAAAACCCAAATGGAAATACACACATACAAGAGAAAATGAAAAAGTTCATGGAAGAATGGAATTACAAGATAATGTGAATTTCCCATGAAGTTTCTGAAGCCCTCTTGTATTTAGAAACAGGACTGAAATAATTGGGTATTCACAAAGAATGAAAAGGGATCTTTACTTCAACTCATAAAGATCAAAGGTCCAACTTGAAGATTTTTAAAATAGGAGAAAAATTGAGTTCAGAATAGAAAAGGTTTTTTAAAAACGAGAGAGAATGCTTTGATCTGCTGGTTCACTTCCCCAAATTCCTGCAACAGCTGGGGTTGGGTGAGCAGAAACTGGGAGTCAGACACAATCTGGTCTCCCAGTTGGAAGGAATATAATCACTCAAGCCATCAGCAGTGCCTCCAAGGGTTTGCATTAGCAGGAAGGTAGAACCAGAAGTCAGAGCTGGGAACTGAACTGAGGTACTATGATGAGGGATGTGGGCATCCTAACCACTAGGCAAAACACCCATTTCAGAAAAGGATTTCTTAAGAAACAAAAGGCGCCAATCAAAAAAAGAAAATACCAATATATTTGTAAGACACATTAAAAAAGTGAAGAAAGAAAACCTAAACTTTAAATGGGGAAATGAACCATATAAAGTAACTCCTATATACCAATATAGGAGAGTCAAATTGAAAGTCAAGAATAAGCACTTCACAGAAGAGGAAACATAAATGGCCCACAAACACATAAAATTATATTGCACTCTTTATTTTCAAGAAAATGTAAAATAGAACCACAATATGACACCTTTGATAAAAGTCAGATAATACCAAGTGTTGGGAGAGTACAGGATATCCCTGGAATACACACTAATACAACTACTTTAGAAAAGTATGGCATTATCTGGTAAAGCTAAGTAGATGGACCATAACCCATGATCTGTACTCCTACAGCCATGCATATGCACACCAGGAAAATGTGTTAGAATATTTGTTTATTTATTTGACAGGTAGAGATATAGATAGTGAGAGAGAGAGAAAGAGAGAAAGGTCTTCTTTCCGTTGGTTCACCCCCCAAATGGCCACTACGGCTGGCACTGCGCCAATGTGAAGCCAGGAGCCAGGTGCTTCTTCCTGGTCTCCCATGCGGATGCAGGAGCCCAAGCACCTGGGCCATCCTCCACTGCCCTCCCAGGCCACAGCATAGAACTGGACTGGAAGAGGAGCAACTGGGACTAGAACCCGGCGCCCATATGGGATGCTGGCGCCACAGGCAGAGGATTAACCAAGTGACCCACGTTGCTGGTCCCATGAGTTAGAATATTTGAAGAAGCACTGTTCACAACAGGTTAGAAGTAAAATTGGTAAACTAATAGATTCATACCATGAAATACCACTTAGACTTAAAATGTACTGCTACATCCATCAAAATAAGATTAATCTTAAAATGTTAAAAGAATCAAGTCAGGATGGGGCTGGGGCTGTGGCGCAGCAGGTTAAAGCTTTGGCCTGAAACGCCGGCATCCCATATGAGCACAGGTTGTAGTTCCAGTTGCTCCTCTTCCAATCCAGCTCTCTGCTGTGGCCTGGGAAAGCAGCAGAAGATGGCCTAGGTCCTTGAGCCTTTGCACCCACGTGGGAGACCTAGAAGAAGCTCCTGGCTCCTGGCTTCTAATTGGCGTAGCTCTGGCCGTTACAGCCATCTGGGGAGTAAACCAGCAGATGGAAGACCTCTCTCTTGCTGTCTCTACCTCTCTCTGTAACTCTTTAAGATAAATAAAATAAATCTTAAAAAAAAAATCAAGTTAGGAAAGAATACTAACAGTAGAGTTCCACTTATTTAATGTTCAAAAACAAAACACTCTGGGGCCAGCGCTGTGGCACAGTGGGTTAAAGCCCTGGCCTGAAGCGCCAGGATCCCATATGGGTGCCAGTTCTAGTCCCGGCTGCTCCTCTTCTGATCCAGCTCTCTGCTACAGCCTGGGAAAGCAGTGGAAGATGGCCCAAGTCTTTGGGTCCCTCCACCAACGTGGGAGACCTAGAGGAAGCTCCTGGCTCCTGGTTTCGGATCCGTACGGCTCTAGCCTTTGTGGCCATCTGGGAAGTGAACCAGCAGATGGAAGACCTGTCTCTACCTCTCTCTTTCAAATAAATAAATAAACAAAACAAAACAAAAACAAAAACAAAGCACTCTATATCTAAAGAAAAATAAAGGATGACAAACATGAAATCCAGGACAGAAATCTACTGTGAAACAGAAGTAGTGAGACACAATCAGAAGATGACATAGGAGGGTTCAAAGGTAATGGCAACTTATATTCATTAAGCCTTAAAGTTTTCACTTACAACTTAAAAACTATATTGATCCTTGTTGCATCTTTTTTTTAAGCTATTGGAATTTAGTTATGAAGGGAGGCAAAGCAACACATTGGTAATTGCATAAATGTGGTGTTTAAGGAAAAGAGGTTTTTTGAGGAAAAACATAAGCATATGCATCAAGGAGAAAAGAAGGTGGCAAACATACAAAATAACTGAAGGAGAGCAGTCAGATCTAGAATTTAGGATTAGAGACTTTACAAAGGATTGTCTTCTCAATGGTAAACATCACGTTTACACAGGTGAAAAAAATACAAAGCAAAATATTTAAAAATGAAAATCATTGCTTAATCTCACCATTCCTTGATCTTCTTAGGGTGATGTTTTTCTTTTTAATACTTGATATTTTCTAATATTTCAATAATTATCATGCATAAAATTTCTTTTAATAAAAAGTCATTTTGGGGCTAGCGTTGTGGCACAGTAGGTTAAGCTGCCACTTTCAACACTGGTGTCCTATATCAAAGTGTAGGTTCAAGTATAGAGTGCTCCACTTCTGATTCAGCTTCCTGCTAATACATCTGGGAAGGCAGCAGATGATGGTCTAAGTACTTGGGTTCCTTCCACCTACATGGGAAACCTGGATTGAGTTCCTGGCTCTCTGCTTTGGCCTGACCCAGCTCTAGTTGTTGCAGGCATTTGGGGAGTTAACCAGCAGATGGAAAATCTCTGTCTCTGTCCTTCTTTGCCATTCTTTCAAATAAACTGACTATTCCCTGTCCACGAAGCTGCCCTCTTCAGGTGCGTATGCTCTCTTCCATGATCTCAATACATATGTACCCTAAACCTGCTTGACTCCAGTAGACAAAGGGTTTACAACCCAGAATCAAACCTTAATTACTAGGCCGGCACCGCGGCTCAATAGGCTAATCCTCTGCCTTGTGGCGCCAGCACACCGGGTTCTAGTCCCGGTTGTCCCTCTTCCAGGCCAGCCCTCTGCTATGGCCCGGGATTGCAGTGGAGGACGGCCCAAGTGCTTGGGCTCTGCACCCGCATGGGAGACCAGGAGAAGCACCTGGCTCCTGCCTTCGGATCAGCGTGGGGCGCCGGCCACGGCGGCCATTGGAGGGTGAACCAACGGCAAAAAGGGAGATCTTTCTCTCTGCCTCTCTCTCTCTCACTGTCCACTCTGCCTGTCCAAAAAAAACCACACAACTTAATTACTTAAGCTAGTCTACAACTTATGTGTTTGGTGTTTCTGGAAATTAACACTCCAAAGAAAATATTTAAGTTACCAAGAAACCTTAATTAAGAATGAAGTAAAATAACTTCAGTGTCTACTTTCTTCTCTTGATTTCATATCACAGATGAAAAGCTGCAAGTAATCAACACTAAGTCTAACGGAGTTGATTTTTTTTAAGCTAACCTTTTTTCTTTCTTTTTTTTTTACTTCAGAAGAACATTCTATCTTTGTTTAAGATCTCAAATTATAATGTACAGATTTGGTTTGGCTAGGTTACCTTTGGAAATTCTAATACGAATAAATAAGTTACTAAAGCAAATCACATGTCGTAAATATGCAATGTAGACTACAATCAGGTTTTGGTATACAACAAGTCTTAGATAAAATGATAATTCTGTCCTCAATGCCAGTGAAAAGTTTGGTATGGCTTACAATTTTAACTTCAAATCTAACACAAGAAACAATATGTGTTGGTGCATTAGGGCATGTCACATATTATTCAAAATTAAGTAAAATGCAAACATTAGGAGTATAAGGGAGATACTATAAGGAATATAGTATTGTCTAAACATTTGTGTCCCATCAAAATTCCCATGTTGAGATCTAATCCCCAGTGCATAGGTATTAAGAGACAGGACCTTTGGGAGGTAATTAGGTCACAAGGGTAGAGTTCTGGTGAACAGACTAGTACCTGTATAAAAGAGGCCTGGAGGGAGCTTGTTTGTCCCTTCCACTATGTGAAGATACACACAGAGGGTGCTCTCGGGGGCCGATGCTGTGGTGTAGCGGGTAAAGCCTCTGCCTGCGGTGCTGGCATCCCATATGGGCACCGGTTTGAGACTGGGCTACTCCACTTCGGATCCAACTCTCTGCTATGGCCTGGGAAAGCAGCAGCAGATGGCTCAAGTCCTTGGGCCCCTGGACCTTCATGGGAGATCGAGAAGAAGCTCCTGGCTTCACATTGGCTCAGCTCCGGTGACTGCAGCCATTTGGGGAATGAACCAGCAGATGGAAGATCTCTTTCTCTCTGCCTCTACCTCTCTGTAACTCTGACTTCCAATTTTTTTTTTTTTTTTTTTTTTTGACAGGCAGAGTGGACAGTGAGAGAGAGAGAGAGAGACAGAGAGAATTTTTTTTTTTCGTTCTCTCTCTCTTCCAATTAGCCTGGTGAAGTTTAAAAAAAAAAAAGAAGGGGGCGCACCTCTTCCTTATCCCTTTTAGCCTGTCGGTGTCTCGGGGCAAGCACTTGGGCCATCCTCCACAGCAGAGAGCTGGCCTGGAAGAGGGGCAGCTGGGACAGAATCTGGCGCCCCGACAAGGACTAGAACCCGGTGTGCCGGCGCCGCAGGCGGAGGATTAGCCTACTGAGCCGCGGTGCAGGCCATGAATTTTTTTTTAAAAGGGTGCTCTCTATGAGGCCCCAACCCTCATAAGCTACCAGATCTGCCAATGGCTTAATCTTGAACTTTGCAGCCTCCAGAACTGTAACAAAATTCTGTTCCTTATAAATTATCCAATCTGGGCTGCCACCATGGCTCACTGGGTTAATCCTCCACCTGCGGCACCAGCATCCCATATGGGTACCATGTTCTAGTCCCGGTTGCTCTTTTTCCAGTTCAGCTCTCCGCTGTGGCCTGGGAGGGCAGTGAAGGATGGTCCAAGTGCTTGGGCCCTGCACCCGCATGGGAGACCAGGAGGAAGCACCTGGCTCCTGGCTTCGGATCGGCGCAGTGCCAGCCGTAGTGGCCATTTGGGGAGTGAACCAGCAGAAGGAAGACCTTTCTCTCTGTCTCTCTCTCTCACCGTCTATATCTCTACCTGTCAAATAAAAATAAATAAATAAATAAATTACCCAATCTAAGGTATTTTGCTTTGGCAGCTTAGAAACCTCAATCCTTGATTGCTATGGGTGTTAATACAGGGGTCTTCAAAAAGTTCAAGTAAAATACATATTATATAAAAACTATGCATGGATTTAAAAAACTTTCTGCACCAAGACAAATTCATATTTTAATTCTGTTTTTCCATGAACTTTTCTTTGTGAGCATGAGAGAGAAAAAAAGGGGGGTTGGGGGGTAGAGAAAGAAAGCATAGGTACACCCCCACTGACTGGTTCACTCCCAAATGCCTACAATGACAGGGTTGTATCAAGGTCAGAACCAGAAGCCATGAATGTGATCTAGGTCTCCATGTGAGTGGAAAGAATCCAACTACTGAGCCATCATCCCTGCCTTTCAGGGCCTGGGTTCATGGGAAGCTGAACTGGGAAGCAAAACCAGGCACTCACATGTGTGATGCAGACATTTTTAAAAATTTACTTTTTAAAAGATTTACTTATTTAAAAGGCAGAGTTGGGGGAGGAGGAAAGGACACAGAGAGAAAGATCTTCTATCCACTTGTTCACTCCCCAGATAGCACAACAGCCGGGACTAGCCCAGGCTGAAGTCAAGAGTCAGGAGCTTCATCCAAGTCTCCCACGTGAGCAGCAGAAGCCTAATTACTTGGGCCATCTGCTGCTTTCTCAGGTGCATTAGCAGGGAGCTAGATCAGAAGTAAAGCAGCCAAGATTTGAACAGGTGCTCACATGGGATGCTGGCATCGCAGGCAGCACTTTACTTGCTATGCCACAACGCCAGCCCCACATTTGGGCATCTTAACCTCTAGGCTAAACATCTGCTCCTCTGTGAACTTTATGAAGTACCCCTGTAATAGGCAACTTTGGATAAATAACCTGTATCTTCATAACTAAACTCTACTTCAGATTGTTTTTAAAAATAGAATGAGATAGGCCAACAAATATAACAATAATTTAGAAAGTTTAAAGTTACAAATAAACATAAGGTAGTATTAAAATTCAGATGACAATAAAAAAATGAAAAATGAAAAGAAATTAAAGGTAACTCTCCTAAAAGAGTTTGAACAACTGTATAAGAAAATGAAAATATTATCTAAGCCTGTATCAGCTTCAATTGTTTTGGGGGAGTATTTTTAAATAAAAATCTTCAACTTTTCTTTCAGCTGAAACACATAAAATGCAACCTCATGTTCTCTAAGTTCTCCAAAGTTTTTTAAAAATAAAAACCTCCTTTTAGAACAAAAATTCTAAATATGTATATAATTCAATTACTAACTTGTTCTCAGTTTTAGCTGAACTCCAAAACAAAAACATTATCACACCCAGTCCCTATGGTCAATCTGTGGTTTTTCACTTAAATCCCAGCCAAAGTATGTTCTTTTCCTCTTTTCGAAATTCTGTCATCTCTCTCTTCAGGAACTTATGTACTATCAATTCATCCAGCATCCAGTCATAATTACTGATTTTCTTTCTAATAACTTTATTGGTCTTCAATAGGGTCTCTCCTAGCTTTAAAATAAAGGCATTGCTTACCTTTTTTTTTTTTATTTGAAAGTCAAAGTTATAGAGAGGGACAGACAGATCTTCCATCTGCTGTTTCACTCCCCAGATGGCCACAATGGCCAGGGATGGGCCAGGTCAAAGCAGGAGCTTCACCCACATTTCCCATGTGAGTGGCAAACACTTGGGCCATCCTCCACTGCATTCCCAGGCCCATTAGCAGAGAGCTGGATGGGAAGTGGAGTGGTGAGGACACAAACTGGTGCCCATATGGGATGCCAGACTCACAGGCAGCAGTTTTACCTACTACAACACAAGGCTGGCCCCTATCCCCAAATGGTCACCAGGAGCCAGGAGCCAGAAGCTTCATCTGGGTCTCTCACATGGGCCATCCTCTGCTGCTTTCTCCGGCCATCAGCAGGGGACTGGATTGGAAGTGGAACAGCCAGATCTTGAACTGGTGCCTATATGAGACGCTGGCATCCCAGGCGGAGGCTTAATCCATTATGCCTTAACACCTGCCCCAGAACATTATTTTAACAACTTACTTTTTAAAAGATGTACAGCATTATTATCACCATTTTTGTTGTTCTGAGGTCAATAATTTCCAGTGAAAATATAATCTTGTAATGAACCTTACCCTATGACAAGCTTCATGTGGCTATTCATTTGGACCCTTTAAAATAACATTTGCAATATACTGACAATTATGAATACATTGTTCTCTGGGGTTCTACGAGCTCATCTAGACAAGTATCATACCCAAGAAAGGGGATCAAGAAAACCTCCAATTTGGAGCCAACTTGGAACAAAAGTTGTGGTAACTGGGAACCTCCTACTTCTGACTGATGTCTGAAGCAAAGTACAATCTTGGGGGACTCAGGCCTTCTTCTGTGGTATCTGCATTAACTCTGATTAGTGTCTGAATTATAGGGCACCCAGAATTGCTTTGTGTGGGAAAAGCCCATACATCTGGTATCAGAAGTGAAGTATTGGGTCAGCACTGTGGCATAGTGGGTTAAGCCACCACCTGCAGTACTTGCATCCCTTATGGGTGCCAGTTCAAGTCCTGGCTGCTCCACTTCTGATTCAGCTCCCTGCTAATGCACCTGGGAAAGCAGAGAAGGGTGGTCCAAGTACTCAGGTCCCTGCATCCACATGGGAAATCCAGATGGAGCTCCTGGCTTCTGGCTCTGACCTGGCCCAGTCCTGGCCATTGTGGCCATTTGGGGAGTGAACCAGTGGATTCAAGATCTCTCTTTCTCTCTCTCTCTGCCTGTTCCTCTCTTTCAAATAAACACATTTTTAAAAAAGAAGTATTAAGTGTTGTGAGTATACAGTAAGAGAAAAAAGCTGGTTTTTTATCTATAGACTTAGAATTATATATAAGACCCAGTAATTCCACTCCTAGGTTTATAGCTAAATTAAATTATAAATACATCCACACAAAAACAGGTACATGGATGTGCAGAGACACATTATTCATAATAACCAAGTGAAAATTATCCAATCATCAACTGATGACTAAGTTCAAGAAAAAGTCCAAATGTCA